TCATGTTTGGTTATACTATAACAAAACAAAACAAAAAGAATGGCGAATAAACCCAAAATTCAGCAAATCCAACATCTTAATTTAAAATGAAGAGACTCATGTTTCCTCCAGTGGTGAACAGAGGGCAGCAATCTGACTAGCCCTCAATTAAAACCCTGAACTCTGAGTCTCAAGTGAAATGAAATTTAGCATGATTCTTCAATCCAAAATTCCTTTTGTGATGTATTGTATGCGGCTATAAATGGCAAATTTTCAGAAGGAGATCATAAGCCTTTCTTCAAAGGCAATTCTAAATGAACTTGATCTCCAACCTTTTAGTTTGCAGCAGAATGCATTACCATTTTGCAACTTTCCATGGAAATATATGTTAACAGTATAACAATCAAGGATAGAATTTTAAATTGAACAAATCTAGCATTATGAAAAGTTCATTACACTATCCTTATTTTATTTTGCTGCAGAGCAGTGAAAACTTCATCATACAATGTAAAGTTATAGCAGACACATGCTTGGGGACCTTAAAAACTTTTTGATCAGATATTTTTTTCTTTTGAAACTGAAAACACTAAATAAAGGAGTTATGTGTACAGGGATAACTTTTCAAAACTGAGCCTTTTTTGGCACAAGACATTGTTTTTGAAATCCTTTCTTAGGCCTAGGAAAGGAACTCTGGTGGTAGTTGAGTAAACATTGAGCTGCTAATTGCAGGGTCAGTGGTTCAAACTCACAAGTAGCTCTGCAGGTGACAGATGAGGCTATTTGCTTCTGTAAAAAATCTGCAGCCTCAAAAATGGAGCATTGGGTCATTAATCAACTTGATGGTAGTAAGTTTGTTTGTTTTAGAGGTTCATTTTATTTATCTATTTATTTAAAAAATCAATTTATTGGGGACTCGTACAACTCTTATCACAATCCACCCATCATGTCAAGCTGCTTGTTTGTTTTTAATGTCTTATACAAACAACTAAATGTGGAAATGATGTAAAATGACCACTAGTCAACCATATGTGTGAGTCATACTAACACATATAGTATTTTGGGGGTAAGCAAAGTCCACTCTGACTTACTATGAAATTGCCCACAGTTAATTTACATGTCTGAGAAGCTTAGGATAATACACACACACACACACACACACACACACACACACCACAAACACACTATTAACACCATATAAAATATTCAAGATTCTAACTATGATGTTTTTTTCCAGCACATAGCTGATACTTAATTTCACCTTAGCATTCATTAATTTATATATGCTTATAGCATTCATTAATTTATATATGCTCTTCATAATTGATGAGAAAGAAAGGAATTCTTTGAAATTCTGAGTTGATGCTTTTCTGGATTAGAGGTAGACAGACTGGTATTAAAATAATGCTAGTAATTAAAATAATGCATCTCCATAAGAATATGTGTTGTACAGAAACATGGGTGAAGGGAGACAGTGGATGGTGTAAGATATTAAAATAATAATAATTTTCTATTTATCAAGGGTTCATGAGGGTAGGTGGGGGAGGGGAGGAAAACCAAGAGGAGCTGACACCAAGGGCTCAAGTAGAGAGAAAATGCTTTGAAAAGGATGACGGCAACATATGTACAAATGTGCTTGATACAATGGATGTATAGGTTGTTATAAGAGCTGTAAGAGCCCCTAATAAAATGATTTATTAAAAAATACATAATATATGTTGTCTGAAGATATATCACAACTTCTTATAGAATTAAACTAAGACTAATTCTTGTACACATAGAATACAATTTTATTTTTAAATTCATACAGAGTACCAGGGTTATTATATATTTGAGTTAAAGTGAATACTTGCTTTTTACTTTTTCCCACCATGGATATTCTATCATTATTTTTTTAATATTTTATTGTTTTAGGTGAAATTTACACAGAAAATTTGCTTCCTATTCAATAATTTATACATAATTTGTCTATGACATTGGTTGCTATCCCTGCAATGTATCGAGATTCACCCTATTTCCATTTCGCCTTCCCATTTCTGTCCCTCTAGTTTTCTTGCCCCACTAGACTTTCCATTTTTGTTTTTGGGCCAATGAAGCCTGTCAGGTCTCATATACAGGCATACTTCAGAGAGACTGCAGAGTCAGTTCTAGACAATCACAATAAAATAACTAAGCCAATAAAGTGAGTCACATGTATTTTTGTTTTCTAGTGTATATGAAAGTTATATTTACACTAAAGTGTAGTGTGCAACGGCATTATGAAAAAGTTTGAAATATTATGAGAATTCCCAAAATGTGACAGAGACATGGAGTGTGCACATGCTGTTGGAAAATTGGTCCTGATAGACTTGCCCTACTCAGCGTTGTAATAAACCTTTAACTTGTAGAATCAGAAGCATCTAGAAAGCACATTATAACAAAGTATGACTGCCGTTAATTGTCCTAAGAAGCCTATGTTATTTTACAAGTGATTCTGTTTTCTAGCTCCTAGGAAGGCTTCAGTTCCAGGTTAAAAGGTGTCTTAGAGTAATAGTCTTGGGGATTCTGCCAAGGGGCTGTGGTAGTTACATAATCTGGTGTTATTTGTGGATTAAGAGCGTAGAGGTGGAGTTTAGCCTGTCAATCTGGAGATAGCCAATGAGACCTCTGTGTGGGCCTGGCTTTCTCCTGAGAGTTCTGGGAACTGTGGTATTTTCCTCCTTGGAGAGGGGAGATACTTCTCTCTGCTCACTTCCTGCAAAACATGCCTGAGGAGAAGCCACATGGACCTACCCTGATGCAGTCCTGGGAACTGGAGGAGTTATTTGTTATCAAACAAATCAGTCAATTCTTTTGTGATTGATTTATTTCACTTAGCATAATGTACTCCAGATTCACGCATGTTGGTTCAAGGAGTCATTATTCTTTATTGGTGTACAGTATTCCATCGTGTGTTTCTATAACATTTTGCTTATTTTCTCAACTGTTAGATACTTAGGTTGTTTCCATCTTTTTGCTACTGTGAATAGTAGCATATTGAACACAGGAAGACATAAGTCTATTCATATCACTGCTCTTAGTTCTCTAGGATATACTTGTGTACTTAAGAGTAGGGCTGCTGGCTATACAGCATTTCTATTTCTAGCTGTTTGAAGGAGTATTATATTGTTTTCCATAGTGGGTGTACCTTTTTATAATCCTTCTAGCAGTATATTAAAGAGGTCTAAACTTACTAGCATCTGTTCTTTTCTGTTTTTAGGTTTGTTTGTTTGTTGACTTGTATCTTTCTAATGGTTAATGATTATAAACATCTCTTGATGTGTTTATTAGTTGTCTTATTGTACACTTGACTATTAACCTACAATCTGTTGCCCTTTGTTTTTTATTGGATTCTTTGTCTTTTTGTTGTTGAGGTCTTGACATTTTCTATATATTTCAGAGATGAGAACACTTTCAGATGTCATTTCCCCAATTTTTTTCTAATTAGTTTTCTCATTTTATTTCTTTGGTAAAGTCTTTTGATGAACACAAGTATTTGCTTTTTAGAAACTCCCAGCTATCCAATTTATCTTGTTATTTGTAAATTTTTAGTTATTTTGATAGTATGTATGTATGTATATGTGTATATATATATATATATATATAAATCATTTTATTTAGAGTGCTTACAGATGTTACAACAATCCATAATCCAATTAGATCAAGTATAACTGTACAATTGCTCCCACCATCATTTTCAAAACATTTTCTTTTCTTGAAACTCTCTGATGTCAGTTCCCCTTTATCCCCTCCCCACCACCAGCCACCCTACACCCCAGGAACCCTTATTGATATAAAATGTATAATTTTAATAATAATATATTTTTTGTTGTTGTATCTCACACCATCCAATGCATCTGTTCGCCTGAAATTCTGTGTTAGTTCTCCTTGAATGGGGTTATACAGTCATCATTGCTACTGATTCCCCTTCCCTTTCTGTACTCTCAGGGAATCGTGACTCTGATTACTATTTCTGAAGGGTTAATCTACCTTGGATTTCATGCACCGAATGATTTTAATTATACAAATGAATGTACACAGGTTTCACAAGATTCATGAGGTGAAACTAAGAACGTAATAGTAACGGGAGGAACTATTAAAGAACTAGAGGATATTTATGTATTTCTTCAGTGCGTACTGCACCCTGGATAGTACAGTTATATGATAGATTGGGACTCCTAGCTTTGGCCTTATGTTCCAGGAATTAAAAGCTGAGACTTTTAAAAAATCATTAGAGATTTCAGGGGAATAGGCTACCTATTTTTAACTGCCATAGTAAAAGAAGAAGAAGGCGATTATATATTAATAACACATTTAGTTCAAGGGTATTTTATTTTAGGTCTTATAATATTCCAAAATGTAGGAATTCCTAAATATAGCCATTCAAAAAAAAAAAAAAAGTTAAAAAACAAAACAAAAAAATCCAGGCAAACAAAACAAACTTAGCTGAGATGGGGATACTTCTTTCAGTTAATCAAAACAAATTATTCTTATATTCATTTCATCTTTCTAAGGAGCCCATGTGGTGTAATAAGTTATGTGTTGGGCTGTGAACCAAAAGGTCAGCAGTTTGAATCCACTAGATGCTCCAGCGGAGAAAGATGATGTTATTTGCTCCTGTAGAGATTGCAGCCTCAGAAATGCTGGGGACCACTTCTACTTTGTACTATTAGGGTTGCTACGATCGGAATTGATTTGATGGCACTGGATGGGCTTGGTATACATACAAACAAACCCTGGTTATTTCAAAATTGTTTATAGAATACAACAGTCTTCAATTTTGCTAAGTATAATTTCTTTAAAATGAACCCATCAATTCTTTACACAATCATAGTTTAAAAAGAGGATCTCAAAGAAAAACTTAAAATTCCACATAATTATTTACCCATGTTTCAGTAATTACAGTTCTGCTAAGAAGTTTCTATCAACATAAAGTTTTGACATATAAAACTCAAATTCCATTGGCCATTATAGAAAACAACTTTCAAAAACCAAACTACACGTGCCTTTTGCTGTAGTTCTTTCACTGCAGAATCTCTATCCATGCAAGCCTGTCGGAAGGCTTCATAAGCTTTATTGAGTTGCTCGCCAATATTTTTATCCATTCCTCTTTGTCCTGGAGCATCACTAGAAAGGATGGAGCATACAACAGGTCTGGAAAAGAATGAGAAGAATTTAGATAGCTATACAGTTTCATAAAATTCATTTCAAGAATGCATTTTAATATAGACCTGTAAGGTCTCTGTGATGCATACACAATTTTCCATCTGACAATTAAGCTAAAGGTTGGAGATTTGAACCAATTCAGTGGTGCAAAAGAATATGTAGTCACCTGCTTCCATTAAGATTACAGCAAAAGCCACACAAATAAAAAACCAAAAATGAAAACAAACCAAAAAACCACTTGTGAAGCACCTCTACTTTATAAGCACGTGGGATATCATGTATCGGAATCAATTCATTGGCAACAGGCTATTTTTTAAAATTAAACGTTTACCGTGAACATATAGTTTATAAAGATATAAAAATCTTGCCCCAAAATATTGTGAAATCTTAATTTCTGCAATTTTTAAAAACATTCTTTACAAATGGAGTAAGTGGTGCTTCCATTCATAAAGATGCTACTTTGAAAATAGTAATCTATAAATGTAACCTAAAAATGGATAAATATAAAAAGCCACTTTATTATCAATACTTTATAATTGAAATGCACAACTGAATTAGCAATGTGGGAAGGGATTTCTTTTTACTAAACGGACAGTTACTCCCACTTACAAGGTGAATTCTTGCTACACTGAAATTAGAACCAAATTAAATAGATAATAAGTGTTTGTGGATGAAGTTCACACTGTTGTTATCACAGAGCAATTAAAATGTGTGAAAATGCTCTTATTTTAGCACAAAATCTAAGGAGAGCTGCTGTTGGATTGTACATTAAAAAAAAAATCACATCCCTCAGTCCTTCCCCCACTCCCTATTAATTTTCTAACCTCCCTGCTGCTTCTGAACTACAGGTAATTTGCTCAGTGGAACTAATTTGGTTTTATCATCTCAGTTTGCATAACATCTCTAACCACATTCCTTGGCTCTGAGCACAGGGCTATCTAATGACTGTCTTCCTCTCCAACTGTAAAAGCCACAAAATAGAACCTTTCTTGTCAATTCTAAAAGCTATAGAGTAGATAAAGTTCTCTATCAGTCTTCTCTATTTTAAGAAGTACGAATTTTCCCACCTATTTTGAAATTCCTTTTAATGTAGTCCTTAATATGTCATACCATCTTCCATTTCATCTTTGGGCCTTAAATGTTTTTTAAAACTAAATAACATTTTAAAATTATAATTCACATAACAAAATTCACCATAATTAAAAGTTTGCAGTATACTCACCATGTTGTACAATCATGATTACTATGTAATTCTAGGGCATTTCCATTCCTATTAGCAATTCTATGCCTCTTAGCAGTTTGGCCCAATCCTCTTCTTCCCTAGCCCCAGTACCCACTATTTTTCTGTCTCTAATGATTTACTGTTTGAACATTTCACATAATTGAAATCACAGGACAGAATGATACAATATGTGGCCCTTTATATCAGACTTCTTCCACTTAGCATAATGCTTCTATGGTTCTTCTATGATGTATCGGCTTTCTCCAAAAACAGTGTGGCCATGTGAATAATGTACGAATGTATGTAAAAAGTTTTGGCACACACCATGCATATCTTGTGACATTTCCAGAAGTAAACTGTGGTCTCATTCACTCTCATTCAACAGTTTGGACATAATACTTTTAACATATTTGCATAATAAAAGTATAATTCATAGTCAAGGGATCATAGGAAGAATTTGTTAAGACCCAGACAATTAAAAAAATATAAACAGCTGAGGGTAGTCTGTGGCTAGGCCTAAGAATTGTGGAAGCTTTCTCTGTGAAGCTGATGTATGCCCAGGTAAAGAAGCACTAGAAACTGGCAGAGGGCTAGATGCAGGTCTACCACAGCCCAAACATGGGCTGGTCCCACTGCAGGCAGGGGAAGTGTCCATGTGCACTGTCCCATGTGAAGCAGCTGTACACTGCAATAGCCCTACATGGCCTCCAGGCAGCCACTTGTACCCATCTTGTGAGTGCAGTGATGCCTGAATGGTCTCTCTGACCCAGGGTGCACAAACTCGTGCACCTCCTTGGCTGGGGCTAGCCATCAAGGCAGTGTTGCTTTTGGGTAGAAAAAATGATTTCTTCTTGCACTGGAGAAAGTGGTTAACAAGCAGAGAAGGACTCATTCCAGGAGAGATGCTGCTTTAGAAATTCAAGGGTAGGCTAGTGAGGGTCTGCTTCTGGGAACCAAACATCCATGTCTACAGGTACCAAAACAAAGATTTAACATTAAATTCATTGGGCAAAGAAAGACATCAAAGTCATTAGCTTATAAAACACAATGATAAAGTGTGCTTATGAAAATAATGCGTGGGCTCCTAAAGGTCAACAAACAGAACTGGAACAATTTATAGGTTTTTCTTTTGTTGTTGTTGTTATTTTGGACTTTGTTCTCTTTTGTTGTTTTGCACTCTTCCCC